TTTATATATATATATATATATATATATATATATATATATATATATATATATATATATATATATATATATATATATATATCCATATATATATATATGGATTGTTAAATTCAGATCTTTTTGATCTGAATTTAACAATCCAATAACCAAAAATATGCAAATGATCCTTATTGAAAGATTAAAAAAATAATTTCATAGTTCAATAGCACTCAAACCATTTAAAGTACCGCCTGGAAAATAATAATAAAATAATTTAGCTCATTACAGGCCCACGTCACTTTGTCATTAATCGGAATAACTTTTAGAATAAGGTTACTTTTATATGCTCAGTTGTCTTATTGCTTAAAGGCACCTGTGGTTCCAATGTTACGGGGTTATTACTGGCTCGGGGTCCGTTTTGACGGCCGAAGGGGGCGCTGTGGAGCAACCAGTTAAACAGTCGGCCGCTGCCCTCATTAACAAAGTGAGTGAGGGTGGAAGAGCAGCGGGACCCGCGGGCTCTTACCTTCTGGACCGCTGGACTCGTGTGGACCTCGCTGCCATGGCGCTGCTGCAGCAGAGAGGACGCTTCGCCGTCCGCGCTGCGCTTTTCCTTCTCTGTCATCTGCTGGAGCCGAGCGGGCTGCGCGCCTTCAACCTGGACACCCGTCATGTCATCAGGAAAGGCGGGGAGCCGGGGTCTCTCTTCGGCTTGTCCCTCGCCTTGCACCAGCAAGTCAGTCCGAATAAAGTCCTGTAAGTGTTCACTCTGCTTTTATTTAATTGCTCATTGAAAAGCGCAGCTCTGGTGTGTGAGGGAGAGAGAGAGAGAGAGACCACCAGTGGGGATAAACGAATTTTAACAATATATAAAAATCACTTTAGTTTACACGGTTTGGTTTATATTTACAAATGTTAAAACGTGAGAGATCCTCTGCAGCAGGAGATAATAAAAACCTTTTAAGTTTTTTTTTTTTTGTCTAATCCTCTTTCCTTCCTGAAGTTAAACCCACATCAAAGATTTAGTCGATTATGGGCTGTTTCGTTTGGAGGATCTCTGACTTACATCCATCCAACATTTATACTTTTAGACTCAGCTGCAACACATTCATTAAAGCTACAGGAAAAGGTCCCCAATCTCTCAAAGCTTCTTGGTACTTTTGTTTCTACATTTAGCAGTGATGCGTGAAATGTGAAATGGAAAGCAGGAACAAGAACAAACAAGTGGTTTTACAGTGGCTCTAACTATCATGCAAATGTGTCTGTGAAAGGTTCTAATCAGGGAGCACAGCCAGAGGTGGAACATCTGCTTCTCTTCAGTTTTACACCTATTTTGCAGCTTTTTTTTTTTTTATTGTGTGTATCCACCTCAGAGTTTGGATCAAACAGAACAGTTTACTACCAAATTGCTCCCTGGCAAGTAAATCTGACAGCTACACTAGTAAACTTTTTTTTTTTTCCAATAAGTTGCAGCACTTTAACGTTCTGATTTTCTATTAACTGAATGCAGGGATTTCAAAAAGGTTAACTTCAAAATGATCCAATTTTGGCAATTCTCAGGTGTTAGAGGAGAGGAAACATCACTTGTTGGTCGGTGTAATCTTGTTGGCTGATCTTGCTGTCTGTGGGCGATAAGACTCTCTGCCCTGTGGAGTTTTATCTGACTACTGATTTCACCGATGCAGGAAAGAACAGGCTGAAGATTGCTCTAAGGTATTTTCTTAGAACAATCTTCAGCCTGGACAAAAAAATATATATATTTTCAAGATTTTTAAGTGAACATAAAAAGAAGCAGTATGAAGTCTTCCAGGTTTGACAGCATGAAGTGATTTAGGGCTGTGGAAGTGATGTTATATTTGTCAGGCAAACAGAGGCCAGAAACATGACACTGGCTTGATAGTTTGCTTTCTGCAGGTAGGAGCAGAGAGCAGAACTGTCTCTTCACAGACTCCTTCAGGAGGAGGCTGCCTCTGCTTTCTGCTAAAATGCATCTATGTACTGGTTCCATGCATAGGCCAGATGTGTCCAAGTGTGTCCAATTTCACAAAAATAGTAAATAATGAAGAACTTTAACGTTCCACTTTGTGTCTCGTCAGTCCACAGAATATTTCCTTTAAAGTGTTGAGAGTCATTAAGATGTTTTTTTTTTTTTTGGCAATGCAAAACTCATTTTCTCTTTGGAACTTTTCCATGGATGCCATTTTTGTCCAGTCTCTTCATTACTCATGAACTCTGACCTTAACTAAGTCAAGTGGGATCTGTAATGCTTTAGATGATTTTATACGTTCATTTTGACCGATATGAGTAATTTTAGTGAGTTAGCCACTACCTGGAAGGTTTTCTCTCTGTGGTTTAATGGAGTATTAAAGCGCTAGGAATGTCTTCGTAACCTATGAAGACCAACAGTGCTAGGTTCATTCTTCAAATAAACTCTGAGATGAACACAAGGAAACAAAAACTTGTCTTTTGCAAAGGGGGAAACCTGTGTCAGACTTAGCTGCGTCAGACGAGTTAACTCCAACAGGCCAACTCCAACGGGGGCTTGCAGCCCTTCAATATTTATTTACTTCTAGGCGCGTCGTCATAGTGATAATTCAACAGCACAGGCAAGTACAGGAAAAGGCATTCAATATATGGTGACTCTTAAAGACAGCGACGTTTACACAGGATGCTACCTCTCCTTGTAGAGAGCAGTGAAAGCATCTGCACATTGTCTGGAAACTTTTTTAAACAGGAAATCACATCCTGCAGAAGTAAAAACAACAGCAGATACATAAGTAAATAAGTGGTAAAAAAGTATCAATTCCCTATCAGACAGCTTGTCATTTTCTTCAGTTTCTTTTGAGAACTTTCAGCCTACTTCATGTTGTCAGACAGGTTCTATTTAAGCCGTTTAAAAAAAAAAATCTACAGGTCTAGCAGTAATCATGTCTGAGTGTGGCTCTTGGAACTGACCTTTTGCTTTTCAAAATGAAGTGATAATTAGGGCTTGATTATCAACATAATGTGAAAAAACATCCTGCCAAGCAGCAGACGTCATTATGAATAATGGGAAGTGTAATACATCTTTGTAACACACAGGATATATGTTAGATAATGAAAAGACTTTCTTTAATGAAAAACAATGCAAGCACAGCATAGTAAAGGTGGAAACAAGAAGCTGTTATTGTTTTGACATAAATCTTCTTTGACTACATTGACTGCTGACAACTCACTTACACACACACACACACACACACACACACTAGAGCACGTTTGTCTGTTAGCATTATGGAGCTGAGAGCTAAGGAAATGTCATGGTGCTCTTGGATTGACTGCTTTGCAAACACCAGCCAATCGCTGGTGTCTAAAAGCCAAAGTCAGGGTTCAAAGGTTTATGCCTGTTGCAAATAGGTGGTTATGTGGAAGTCCTTTACCTGACTGAATGCAGCCTGACATTGGAAGATTAGAAAATAAAGGAAGACGTTGCTTTTCTTCCTTTATGCATAACAAATATTAATTATTTATAGTTTTGGGCCATGCTATTCATTTTAACACCTGGAGATTTTACATTATCCAACTAGAAAACAGCTGTCTGCTCAAATGAGACTGAGACAGATAACCATAGCTTAGTCAGAATATAGAGAAGTATTTATGTATGTTACTTTTACATAGCACATGGGGCATTTTCAGAAATTTCTGTTTGCAAGTGTATATGAATTCCTCAACATCTTAGCATAAAACAACAATGTTCGTTGTCCCTTTTCTTGCTTCTTAATCTCAAATTAAAAATGTCAGAGTTTTATGTTTGGAAATGCCCTTCTCAAGCAGTTTAGTCATTTATTCTTACAGCCTTTCTCAAAGAGGAGAACTTTATTACCTCCACTGGAGTCTCTTTTCAGTATGAGTCACACTTTTAGTCTGTTGTCCATTAACAGGTAAGAAGTATGACAAACGTGACTTTCCTAAGAAATCAGTGTTGCTCCTTAGTCAGCGATGTCTGTCCACTGGCCTTTGTTGAGACTCCATGGCGACCAGCCACATCCTCACCTTGGCCATCTGTTAGACAACTTGTATCAGCAGATACATATCTGCTGATACAAGTTGTATCTGCAAGTTGTCTGTACAAATTGCAAATACAAGTCTGTACAAGCAGATACAGGTTGTCTATTATTGTCCACATCATTGTGTTCAACATCATCCACTGTTGTGTTATCTCTGTTACTCTTATTTTGTGCTGCCCACTTCTTTCCTGTTGTGACAGCTTAACTTTTCCACTCACGGGATTAAAAAAAGGAGTGTCTTATCTTATTTTGTCTTTCTAAATTTTCACCTGATCCATGGACTAATGAGCCAAAAACATACAGAAGGTCAGCGGAGCGAACGGACAAGGGTACTGACTAACTCTGCTGTAAAACTTTAAGAAACACTAACGTTATGAAAACCACGTCGCAGCAAAGTACCACGCTCGCCCCATCTGTCTTCTCTGAGCTCGTGTGAACCAAATGTTTGATAATGATTGCTGGCAGCTGCAAATTTCTGCCAGTTTTCACTTCTAGCATTGATGGGATTATTCTAAATCCTTTATGTGAGGCGAGGAAGGAGACTTTACACAATCCTGCATGCACGCTTTTTTTTTTCCCCGTAGGAAGGAGACGTGAACATGTGGACAGCATTCCTCTTATCTTATCAGATAACCCATACAGCCTGTTTAGCTGTTGTACAAAACTCTTAGACACTAAATCTGATAAGGATTTTATGAGTTTAAATAAAAATCTCTCACGTTTTTTTTTTTAGGTTGTGTTAGGCTGAGTGAAAGAGGATTACTGATTTACCGCAGGAGAAGCAGTCAGATACCTCCTGGATGAACAAGGCGTTGAGTAAATGATCTGGATTCTCTCGGCGGAACCAGAGAAAAAGGCCATTAGACTGGACACGCATGACCATCTGTGAGCATGTAACCCGATAGATTCAAGGCATCGGTGAATCATCAACTGAGACATTCCAGTCAAACTTCCCTCGCGATAAGGAAGTTTGACTCAAGGCAGAGAATATAGAAACTTGTGGACTTTATTGCTCAGTTGATGTGATGCTGAATATTTGCACCTTCTTCTGTGATGCGTGTCCAGCTGTTTGCAGGTCAGCAGCAGCCAGAGTATTTTGTGTAAAGTGAAATCAGTGAGAACAGCTGTGGAGGCTCCTCTGGCTAAGAGGGTACAGCTGCGGGAGTCTTGGTGCGCCGAGACGTCCTGTGAGGTAACTTTGTGAACCCATACTGGCCTCTCTCTACCCGTTCCCATTTACCCTTCAGTGAGAGACGTAATGTTTTGATGAGGATTTTAGCTGAAAATGACTTCTGGATGTTAAAACCTGATCAATGTGATTGCTGCCGCATATTATAAAATATTATCAAAAACGTTATCGTAAGTGCATAATTTAAACATCTTATATCTTAATTTCATCCGGTTGAAAAGTTCTAACTCAAAATGACAGCCTGTGAACAATTCTTCTCCAATCCAAAAAAACTGGGCCACAATATTTGACCCAATATTTGGTAAAAATGACCCAACCCATGTCCCAACAGCAGAAAGTAAAAACTTAGAGGAAATGCCAAGGAGGATTTTGTGTGCAGAATTGCAGTACTGTTATGAAAATTGTGATGATGCTGTTGGTTAGGATGAACATGTACAATATATAACTCAACATTCTCTCAATTAGAGAGAAAATGAAAGAACAAAGTCTAAAGAGTAACTTTTAAAAAACCTCCAGGAAGCAATAGAAAATGTTCATCAAGATTAAAAGAAATGTTTGACTCTAAACCAGTCTAACTGCCTTCTATTTCTTATCGACGGCGTATTTTGTCATCACTGCTGCATCTCCAGGTTTTAATGTTTTCTCACAAGGTGGTGGTGCAGTGAAAGGGTTAATAATGCTGCTTCGTTTTGATTAACTACACTCTCCAAAGTTGCACGAATTTGTAGTGAAAAAGTTATTTGAAAGTACTGAAGTTCCACCTCTTTGTCACGCGGAAAAGTACTTGAATGTTTTCTCTTGCACGCTGCGTTGTTAGTTCTCAGGTCCACTTTAAATGTTTGTGTTGTGTTGCACATATTTAGCTACATTTAAAATGCCTCTCTGGAGGCATGTAGAAAACTCCATGAGTTTTAAATTCATGGAGACTTGCATCTTTAAGCTTTGAGGTGACTGTTTGGACACATCATTTTTCTCAGTATCACACAATTTGATATATTGTTTGTATCTACTATTATTTATTTTTATAGTTGTTGTTTTTTTTGAAGAATGTGACTTTTTTTATTGTGGAGCAATCAGATTGTGATACCAGATTATGATATTGTCTCTTTAATCAGACTCTGATGCAGAAATGTGTAAATGTGAAATAGGAGCTGGTTGTAAAGTGTCCTGTGGTGTGTTTGCAAACCTCTGGTCTTTGCTGAGCTGACGAGGAGCCACAGCACTGCATCGCAGATCAATAGATGGGTTTGAGAGGAAACAGCAGGGTCGCAGGGAGGAGAACAGGGCAGGCAGGGTTTCCTCTCCCACCTTTGAAGAAATAAACGGTAACACTTTATTTGAAGGGGGTTGAATAAGACTGACATGACACTGTCATAAACATGACATAACACCTGTCATGAACATGAATAAGTCTTCATGAATATTTATGACTGTTGTCGTAAAGCGTCATTCGGTAAATTATGACACTTTTAATACAAAGTTGACATTATTCAAAATGTCTTTGTTATGACAACTTGACATTAACCAGGAAACCATTACTGATTAAACTTTACCTTTAATAACATAGTTACCTAATTTTTAAAGTGCAATCAGTAATACTTTTATAACAAATTTATATCAGTAATGATTTCTTGGTTAATGTCAAGTTGTCATAACAAAGACATTTTGAATAATGTCAACTTTGTATTAAAAGTCATAATTTACCGAATGACGCTTTATGACAACAGTCATAAATATTCATGGAGGCTTATTCATGTTCATGACAGGTGTTATGTCATGTTTATGACAGTGTCATGACAGTCTTATTCACCCCCCTTCAAATAAAGTGTTACCAAATAAACTATTGTGAGTTTCAGAATGGTGGGTTTGGTAACGCTCACATGACTCTGTAGCTTCTCATTTTTAGGTTATTTAATATTTTTTGTGAACTAATTAGATAAGAACAACAACCTGACCTCACTGCTGTTTAATCTTTCAATCTGACAACCTCTATCTTAAAGCTCTTGAAGCTCGCGTTGTGGTTTTATGACATTTACATAGATGTAGTTTTGAGCAGTGGATATGAGACTTTACAAGAAAACTTATGAATATACAATCCACCTTACAGTCAGGTTTAACTCCAATTACAAACAGCCCAACAGTCTGTTTTTTAATTTATTACATTGTCATATTTACAAGGTTAGTGCAGCAGACTGTATGAAATATCTGATGATTGAGAGAAACAACTCCCTTTAATCAATCATCTGCTTCAGTCAGATGCAGGCTGAGAGATCCAAAAGGGAGATGCAAACACAGAACCATTGGGTCAGAGGTACTTTCTATTGAAAATAAAATAAATGGTACTAATAATTAGAGGTAGATGTTTTGTCTGCCTCATGGATTGAAACTGAGAGCTGGTTCAGCAGGTGAGGAGCCTTTTAGATGGTCTAGAAATGACGGGTAAACTTTTAGTCTGATACTGAAGTTCTCTGAGAGAAAAAAAATACTGAACTTTAAGTTCCTCAATATCAGAAGAGGCCCTGTCATCAGGAGCTGGTGTACCTGTTGAAGCTGATTGCTTCATGAACTTTGACAGGAAACATGAGCTAGACTGTGGTTTTACTTTTCACATTTTCACAACTTTGACAGTGTCAGTCAGAGGTTTGCTTGACAGCTGCCGTCTCAACTCGATCGTGTGAAAGTACGTCCACATAAGTAGAACTTTACAAGTATGTTTCATTTGGCCATAAATGTCTACCGAGAGACTCCTAAAACCTTTCAAAGTTCTGATCCAAAGTCCAGATGATGTATAACTCCTTGATGTCAAACACCTTTTGAAGAGAAACGAATCCTAAAGAATCATCTATTAAGTCCTTTTGATAAGTTCAAAATTGTGCTGATTATCATCTACCCCTCGACCAGTGGAATGAGTCAGCCATGAGACACAGTGTCCTCCTTGTTGGCGCTCTGTGGCAGCTTGAGTTCAGCCTGAGGTTGGACATAATAACTGCATTGTTGAGAAAGCACCGAAATGCATTGTCTACTTCTGACCCACTTTGGGCCGAGCTTCAGCTGACAGATGGCCTCACATTTGGCTCTGAAATACTTTGACACACAGAGGAGTTCATGTGTGTCAAACCGCGGCTACCAAACCATCACCCCTCCACCATCGTGCTTAGCAGATGAAATCCTGAGTTCAGTGGGTCTTTTTCTCATCGTATCCGTTCAGAATTTTAGTCAGATTAAAGTGATAACTGAGGTCAGTAAAGGCCAGAATATGCAACTTTTTGGGTTTTAAGCTTGACTTTGGGTTGCACAGAAGTTGTCTCTGAGGTTGTTGCTGATGTCTTTCCTTCCTGGCATTGTGTTCACACAAACACCTGTAAGCTCCAGACTTGTCACAGGATGAAAATCCAGATTTTGGGGGCATGTGAGCACCTGCAAACTTCATCAATTCTCAGCAATTACCAGCTGTTTATAGGCTGCAGTGTTAGGTTTTCTTCGTATTAGAAGATGCTGTTCATCATGCACTGCAAAAACTCAAAATCTTAACAATTTTTTTTCTAGTTTTTTGAGGAAATATCTTAGTAAACTTAAAATAAGACAAAGCTAGCTCATAAGTAACTTTTCAGCAAGATATAGGAGCTTGAATGGAGTCAATAATCCTTTAACACTGTTGAAAAAATACTTGATGCAGATTATTTCACTTATGGGAAAAATATCTTGTTATAAGATAAATAATCTGCCAGTGGAATTAGTACTAGAAACTAGACCAAAATTACTTGCTAAGATTTTGTGTTTTTGCAGTGTGGGGGAACAACTCATATGCTGATACTATTTAAATTGTGCGACGCAAAGCCAAACCTTGCCATTATTCAGGCGATAACACTGGATGATGATTCAGTCGGCAGCCTTTGATTTGGCTGCTACTGCCTAAGATGCAGCTGAAGCAACAAAGGTGTACTTAGTTTTTTTCTGTAACTGTACTATTTATGCAAATAAAAAGGTTTTGATGTGTCAAAATTTATGGACAAAAATAGAATAAAAACTCTTGCATGTAATAATTTTTTTGTGTTCCTCTCAAATGGGCTTGAATCATTTATAGTTATTGCTGATCAGAATATCAGGAAAATGTTTTAGTCTTAATTGTCCTTTTGTTAATTTGACTGATATTTTTGGGGAAGCTTGGGCTTTTGCTGTATATTGTTCCTTTTTATTGTATTATTTGTGTTGAAGATAATAGTTTTTGACTATTATCTTCTTTATGTACAGTTCTATATTAGTTATGTCTTTGTGAGTCTTTTTTCTTCTGATGTGCTTTGAACAAATGAACTTGATTGTGAGACTGCTGAGAGGAAACTGCGTCAGTGTGGTATGCAACACAGTTCGCTTCATGGAAATGAAAAGGGATGTTGTGGCTTTAAGAACGTGTGTCTGAAACAGTATCCTGACAGGATGCCGCTGTTGTTTCATTTTTGACAGTCGCAGTTGTGGACAAGGGTGACTTAACACCCAGACAAATGAGTGTGAGAGATTGGTTTGTTGATCATTTTCTTTTAATTTGGTAAATGGTGTTAGGACGGACAAAAGTAAATTAAAATTCTAATTATATCCTGTTTTCTGGGCATGCTTGCTGTCATTGTTACTGTTAATATGAACAAAATACAACAAGACGCTTCGGTGCAGGCTTTCTGAGAAGTGTGTATTTGATTGTGATCGAATCGTTGTGATGGTGGAAGCTACCGTGCAATCTTTGAAGTAAAATGTTTTTTTGTGTTTTCGTTTTCTCAGGTTACTGATTGGTGCCCCGAGAGCCAAGGCTTTAAAAAACCAAAAATCCAGCGTGACTGGGGGCCTTTTTAAGTGTGAAATCTCTGAGTCTGATAATTGTGAGCGCGTTGAATTTGATAATGACGGTGAGAAACCATTCGACCTGCCTACGTACCTACTATCCCACCTGCCTGTTTGAATAACACAAATCTTGTTTCTTTCTCTTGGGTTGCCTCAACTGAAAGAGGATCCAAGTAAGGAGAGTAAGGAGGACCAGTGGATGGGTGTGTCTGTGCAGAGTCAGGGACCCGGGGGAAAGGTTGTGGTACGTCACAACACATTTTCGCATTTTTGTACCATTGCTCTCTGTGTCTTCTTATTGCTCTGCGTAGCTGAACTCTGGATGATGCCATTTCAGACGTGTGCGCATCGATATCAAAAGATTCGCTCAGGATCCCAGTCTGTCCTTGGGCGCTGTTACGTCTTCAGTCAGAATTTGACAATCAACTTGTCGGATGATATGGACGGAGGCGATTGGAAATTTTGTGAAGGCAGAGACGGAGAAACAGACCATGCACGGTATGGAGTCTGTCAACAAGGTCTGGGGGTCACCTTCACCAAGGACTACCATTATGTGGTGTTTGGAGCCCCAGGAGCAAGAAACTGGAAAGGTCATAATCATTATAAATTCCTCAGAGTTTTTTTCTTTATCTTAATCATTTTTCTGCACCCAGTGTTGCTGCATAAAAATGTTGTACTCTGAAATTCTCTCCAGGGATGGTGCGAGTAGAACAAGATAACATCACGTTGGTAGAAAAGAATATATTTCACGATGGACCGTATGAGTTTCAAAACGATAAACACCCCAGCTCTGTGTCCGCCCACAGCTACCTTGGTGAGTTATTTACCAACAAAGCAGACTGTACATAATGTTTGTGTATCACTTGGACAATGACAGTTTCCGACTGTTTTGCTGCAAAACATGAAGTGTTAACATCATACCAAGGCTTTTTTTTTACATAAGATGCACAATAATGTGCTTCCTCTCAAACAACTTACAAGATCACAAGTCATAGCAGCAGCCAACGTGTGTGTGTGGGCCCCATGTAGATTTTACTCAATCTGGATGGAGACTGGCTTATGGATTGACTAATATTGAGAAAACCCGCCTCCAAAATGCATAAATTTAGGAGATTTTATGGTAGCCTGTGTGTTTGTGTAACATGTCTGGGCTTAGACTAGAAAGAGGAAGAGGTAGAACAGAAACAATTGTGGTCTGTGTCAAACTGTGGGTTGAAATGATGTCAGTTTCAATGAGATAAAACTAATGTGTAATTACCGTCTTTTTTTCCATTCTCCTTGTAAGCTAATGTTTTTTTGCTCTATATTGCCGTTTCAACTAAAGGGTTCTCACTGGACACCGGGCACCACATCATGAAAAGCCGTAACCTGACCGTGGTGGCTGGAGCACCAAGAGCCAATCACAAGGGACTTGTAGTCCTGCTGAAGAAAGAGTCTGCCGAGCAGCTCGTAGTGGAGCAACTTCTGCACGGGCAGGGACTGGCATCCTCATTTGGATACGACGTGGCTGTGGTCGACCTGAATGGTGATGGGTAGGGAACGTTTGTCTGAGGAGAAAAACTTTTTTGTCAGTATAGCTTATACCAGTTACAAAACACGAAATTAAGTTAAGTTGTTAAGTTGTTGGATTCATTTGTGACCTTCAGCTGACGCCTTAGTTTCCAAATCGGATACAAATGATATATGATCATTGTATATGACAACTGGTAAGATTCCCCAAACCAGAAATTTCTCAAAAATTTAAGAAGCTGAAATTAGTCAGGGAGGCTGTAAAGACAGCAGCACGAGAGGAGCTGCAGGAATTTCCAACAAGTGCTGGTGGTGTGCCTGCATAGAGCCTGCAAATCTGAATTATTTTCTTCCAATTAAAACATTCAGACCTGGATAAAATCCTCCAGAATCTTTCATTGCTGAATGCGTTATGGTCTGATGAATCCAAATTGGATCTTTTGGTTTAAAATTTCAAATTTGCCACAGAAGGAGCCTTGTTCATACAGTGAACTACGGTGGAGGCACCGTCATGCTCTGGGGTTCCTTTTACTCAAAAAGAACTGAGGTCATAAACAGGCCCAAGTTTTGGCCTAAAACCTTTCATCACCTAAGAATTACATCAGATGAGGAAAATTCTCCTGTAATCTTGGAGGGTGCTGCAAACTAACAGTGTCCCTATATTTTCTATACATGATTTAGATGGCAAGACATTGTTGTGGGAGCCCCTTACTTCTACATGAAGGACACAGACATCGGTGGAGCCGTTTATGTTTATATCAACAAAGCAGGACAGTGGGATAATGTAACTCTGATCCGCCTGAACGGGACCAAAGATTCAATGTTCGGACTGGCAGTGGAAAACATTGGGGACGTCAATCAGGACTCATTTAATGGTAATTTACCCGCTTTGAAACATAAATCTTGTTTTCAGGCATTTCGCACCTGCTTTAACTGATTTTTCAAACCTACCAAGAAGAGAGTAAAAACACAATTAATTAGGAAAACCTGTTGGCCTGACAATGATCAGTCATGCACTTAAGAAATCTGGTCTTTATAGAAGAGAGACAGTGAAAGAAGCTGCATTTAAAATTGTTGAGGCTTAAGACAGGCTAATTGACAGCTAATGACAAGAGCCAGCTCCCCCACTACTACGGAAGGATGAATCTGTCACTGCACATCATCCTAAATGTGCAGCCCGACCCTTGAAACATGGTGGTGGCAGCATCATGCTGTGGGTATGCTTTTCTTTTGCAACAAGATTCTTTGGGATTCTTAGAGCCAAATACAGGACAATCATGAAAAACTTAGCAAAACCTGAAATCTGGTCTTATCAACTCTCTCCATTCAGTCAGAGATTGAGAAGCTTTAAAAATAAAAATGGACGAATATTTTAATCTATATGTGCAAAGCTGGCAGAGACATACCCCAGTAGATTTGGTGAACAAAAGGTGCTTCTGTAAAATATTGATTCAGGGGTGGAATACAGTAACGCAGGACACTTTAATTTATACCATCATTGTTTTTTCCACTTTGAAATCCTGTGCTTTAATGGGTTAATCCCTGTTAAATACACAGAAGTTGTTTTTAAAATGTTACAAAATGTCAAGGCCCAGTTTAGAAGTGAAAGCTGGACAAATGGCAACATGTTAGTAAGGAATAGGGACATGAATCTGCAAAGGAGTGAACAAACCTTTGCAGTCTCAGCAGCTAGAGTGTATAAATAATCAGCAATGCTTTTATGCCTGTGCAGATATTGCAGTTGGAGCTCCACAGGACGATGAGGGGGCAGGAAGAGTCTACATTTATCATGGATCTGCACAAGGGATAAAAACAACTCCTGCCCAGGTCGGTTCTAATGACATTTTGTTTTAGGATCTTTCTTTTTGTGTTGTGGATTACATGTGCACCTCTGTTGAAAGCTGAACAAGTTGGATGTGACCGCTCAAGGGACTTGAATGCAACTTTTAGCTTGTTATTTTAAACTTAAAGACGAGTTTGGTTTCATGTGAACAGATACTCTCTATTTTGGACTGTGGCTGCCAATGAATGTATCATTTCAGTGACATTGTTGTTAGATATGCATAGGTTGTTTGTCGCTGTGGTTTCTCAGTTCTCTGTTTTTTCTCTTTCTGCAAGCGTAAAGCAGACTCGGGTTTTGTATTCTCTTTATTCTTCTTTCTTTCCTCTACTCTTATCTTCTTTCCCTTTTAACTTTTTGTCCCACCTTCTCTCTTTTTCTTTATATCTATCAACTATATATCAAGTGGAGCATTATAGATTTTGCTGTAATGCTCCACTTGTGAAAGTAAGCATGTTGGGATTCTTCTCGACACTCAGACAACAATTCTGAATCCAGATATTAATTCTTTACGTCACCATAAGCACATTTTAATTGTAACTATAAATTATATATTTTACTCCCAGCAGTTAAACTAATCCTGATGCGACCAGTATTACTGCTGTACGGGTTCTGGTTCATTTTTCATCTCATTATTCTCTAAAATCTCTTCTTCTTAATTTCAGATCCTTTCAGGCAAAGAGCACAGCCTTCGATATTTTGGATATTCTCTGGCAGGAAACATGGACCTGGATGGTAACTCTTATCCAGACTTGGTTGTAGGATCTCTGTCAGATGCAGCTTTCATTTACAGGTAAACATGGAGGAAGAGGAGAGAAAATGACGATTTTACTGTTGTCTTTAGTTCTTTAATTTAACAACCTTCTTCCAGGGCAAGACCAGTTGTTAACATCAGGAAAAACGTTACGGTTACTCCTGAAGAAATTGACCTCGGTGTTGGCTGTGATTCCAGTTTTTGGTGGGTCTTCAGATGCTCTTGCACTCAAACAGACTCTGCACACAGGGTGTTCCGTTTGTTAATTTTCCCTTTTTACCATTAGCTTCACTGTGACAGCATGCTTCAACTACACAGCGAGGTCCTACAACAAGAGGCTCAGTGAGTACAAAAAAACCCAAAAACTTTAATGCTGCACAGATGTTTACTAGTTTTAATAACATCTGATTCAATTTTATCCTGCAGCAATCAGCTACTCCATAGAGGCAGATGGAGAACGCAGGAAACAAGGACTGAACTCCAGAGTGATTTTTCTGACTAAGACTCATCCTGAATCAGACATCCAGTTTAATGGCACCTTGGAGCTCCAGAACCAAAACGCAGGACAGTGTGTCAGCATAAACGTCGGGCTTAAGGTAAATCCCAATTGTCACCTTTAAATTGGCTTGAACCTGAAAGGTATTATCAGTAAAAATATGTAGGTCTGAATACCAAAAGATCGTTGTCAGTTTGACTTTTTTTGTTACTGGCTAATGTGTTTAAACAGGAACATGTTCAACTTATTCAACTTTTAACTGTGCTGCATTTGCACAGGACAACATTAAGGACAAGATGCGCAGCGTTGTTATTGAAGTTTCTGCAGAAATCATCAAAGCAAAACCCCAAAGAGCAGGAAATGCTCTATCTCAGCTAATGCCAGTTGTAGACGCCACCCAGCCAAGACAAGCCGTCGCAGAGGTAAAAAGTCACATTTCAGTTTTAATCTTGTCTTGCAAAATTAATCACATCAGTTCAGTTATTTATATTTTATCATTGTACATCCATCAAGTTCAGTTAATTGTATTGGGATTGTATGTGATAGACGAACACAAAGTGGTAACTTTTTGAAGTACTATAAATAGAGTCCAACAGAGTGTAATTCAGTCTCCGGTTCTCCAACGTCATACAGCGCTGATGTTGGAGAACGTGCAAACAAGAAAACTATTAGACATCCAGTGTAAAGTCTGACTTTTATGGAAGAGCTGCAAGAAGAAAATCATTGTGCAAAGACAGAAGAATAACATGCAAGACATGTGTTATGTTATGCGACAAACGTGACATTTTTATTTTGTGAGTGACATCTTGTTTTTGGTTTATTGTTGCAGGTAAACTTTGTAAAGGAGGGATGCAAAAATAAAAAGATTTGTTTCAGCAATTTAAAAATGGACAACAGTCTGCACTACAAACCAACCAGCAAGGATGAATTCACCCCGTTAAACAAAAGGTTCATATAAAAATGTTGTATTGTTAAAAAACCATAATAATGTCAAGTTATTTCATGGTAATTGTTTGTAAATCCAATTAGAATTTAAGACAAAGCTCTGAGCTTGAGTTTATTTACTGCAGTAAAAATATATATATATATATTTTCTTTTAGTTACTATAAGTAAATCTGCTTTGTCTACATTGGATAAGATCTTGAGCTGCTAAATGTGAATTTATGTTAGAAATGTTGTTTCCTCAAAGCTGATTCTTAGGTTTGTGTATCTCTACAGTGCACTTAATATCCCAGAGTTCAGGCTGACTTACGAGACGAAGGCCTTGGCTGTGAAGGTGACTGTGACCAATGAAAATGGTGACGATGCCTTCGAAGCAAAGCTTGTGGGGAAATTCCCAGAAATCCTGTCGTATTCTGGAGTTCGATCTGTGAGTACGAGTCCAGAGGGAGAACTTTACAGCACAGCGCCACAGGCATGACGAGCAGTAGTACGTTTTTGAATGTGATCTCACTATATGTGGTCACGTTTTCACATAATGTCTTGAATTTTGAATAGGGGTAGAAGACGTGTAATCTGCATGTATGCGCAGTAAATCAAATTTTAAACACTCCTTCAGAGCTATTGTGTATCTGCTTTTTGTGTCAATGCATAGAAAGACATGACAATAATGAACAATCATGCTCCAGCATCACTTTGGTGTCTTTTGACACTATTGCATGCAGAACTTGATCACAAGATATGTTTAAAAATGTGGTAAATTTCACAGCCATCAAAGCCAGTGTATGTCACTCATTATTTGATTATCAACGCAACTGCAATTGAAATATTACACCATTGACGCAAAACCTTTATCAATTAATCTCACTCCAAGTTATGCAGGTTCTTTGTGTGGTGTGTGGTGAGGATTCTACTCACCTCAGCATGTCTGTTGCTTGAAACTAAAAGTGAAACAAACGACCATACCCACCGTTTTGATAAATTTGACTAACACTTTTCTAACCACTTGGGGGATTCTCATAGAGCAAAGACAATGTACCCCTGTCCTTATGCAGCAGAACACTGCTTGACCTAAAACATGATAAGCAAAGTCATGAGCTAACTTGATGTTCTACTAAATTCATTTCACATGTTTAGACGTGTGTTATGCGGTTTCCTCTATGCCAGCATGGATGCAAAATATGTAAAACAAGTCGATGCAGGAGCCTTATTTAAGCCTTTAAGATAAAGGGCAGATAGTATGTAATGTGAAGAGGATGTAGTGCTTTGAGATCTCCAACTTTATAGTGAAACAGAACTATTTTTATCTTGGGAATTTTAATTGAATAGAATTTGTTTGGTCAAAACCTGCTTGGATGTGAGTGTTGTTGAAAAATAGCTTTTTTTTTTTCCTTCTTCTTCTTTTTTAGCCAAACAATCAGATCCTCTGTACTGCCAACCATAACGGATCTGAAGCAGAGTGTGAGCTGGGAAACCCATTTAAGAGCAACTCAAAGGTAAACATATGAACTTTTAAGAGTTACTTGACAAGTTAAAGCTACTTTAAGGTGAGATGTGTTTTTTTTTTGTTTGTTTTTTACACAAGGTCATGTTTCACATTATTCTGAGCGCTGCGCACAATGTTGTAAAACTCGACACCACTGAGTTTGAGATTGATCTGCATCTCCAAACGTAAGTGATCTGTTCATTTCAGTAGATGAACTTTTAAGTATTGCAGTGATAAACTGTATGATGTTACCTGGAAAACAGGAGGTTATAGATGACTATTCGCGCCACTTTAATATTCAGAAATGGAGTAAAAAGTGATTCCTTTTGAATATCTTCTTACATCTGTATTACTTTTTATTTAGCTTTTAAATATCTCACGAATAGTAAAAAAGAAAAAGATATGGCACGTTCATGTTTAAGTTTCCAGTTCTAATTGAGCTGAAAATGGACTGATTTCTTTGTAAATCTCTATAATTAACTATTTATGTGTTTGTTTTTAACTGTACTTTTTAACCAAACATATTGTTACTTATAGCTGTCTTTTGATAAAATTGTATTCTTCTTGTTTAGGACAAGTTCTCAAAGTATTTCCGCTGTGAAAATAAAGAGCAAAGTGATAACTGAAGTCCCTTTGATATTGAGTGGGTAGGTACATTGATGCAGATTGTCTGTCTGTCTGTCTGTCTGTCTGTCTGTCTGTCTGTCTGTCTGTCAGTCAGTCATTGAGTATTTTTCTATTGCCCCATCAGTGAAGCCAAACCCAGACAGGTTTCCTTTGGAGGTGTTGTGAGAGCAGAAACTGCAATGAAAACAGAAGAGGACGCTGGAAGTTTGATTAATTTTACATTTAGGGTGAGTTTAAACTTATGTAAGAACATTAATTCTTGTTCTAAGTGTTCTATTCAGGAGCTGGGCCATCTGAATTTCTCCTCCAGATAAGTAACTTGTGGACGCCTTCGATCTCTCCTCTTCCCCTCACTCTACACATTCATTGGCCCAGAGACAATAAAAACGGGAAATGGCTTCTGTACTTGGTGAAGGTCACATCTCACGGACCTGAGAAAATCGCCTGCTCTCCTCAATCTGAAATTCACTCTCTCAAAAACATTTGGGTTGGTATTTCTGAGAATTTGGTGTCAAAGCAACGTTATTTTCAGCTCCAGCTTTGTTCGGTGCTGGTTTAACATGAATAAATGTGATTTCAGGAGAGATCTCCTTCCCTGACAAAACAGGAAATTGTCAAAAAAGAAAGAAAACTTGGTGGCAAAATTGTTTTTCATTCAAGCAGTAATAAAGTTTTGGTGAGTTGATTTAAATATGCTTTGTTTTAAACATGCAGATGTGCAGCGCTTACAGGTTTGTCTCCTGTTTTGCAGTCCTGTGAGAAGGAAAGCAAATGTGTGGTGCTGAAGTGCCCCCTGCAGGGGATTAATGGTACTACAGTAGAGCTGAGATCTCGTTTGTGGAACTCCACCTTCATCGAGGTAACAAATTGTAGTTTTTATCGCCTCTTTTTTCCCATCGAGAGTGAGTCAGTGTAATGATGGCGGCCCAGGTTGATTATTAAAGCTCTTGATTCTGTTTTTACACAGGAATACGCTTCCTTTCCAACCACAACTTTAGTTGTGAAGGCTTCACTTGTACTTGAGTCTCAGGCTCCGAACATTATCCTGAAATCTCCTGACTTTACTGTAAGCCCTTCATCAGCTGAATGGAAATATTAACCTCAGCAGTCTTGATCTAAATCCCCTGGGGTCATCTGGCGTTTTTTTTTGTCATGACGTTGTGTTTTAGGTGACGGTGCCCGTGTCCCCGGACAGCGACGTGGCTCAGTTCGGAATTCCCTGGTGGATCATTCTGATAGCGGTTCTGGCAGGAATCTTGATTTTGGCATTGATGGTGTTTCTGTTGTGGAAGGTGAGCGAAAAGCAGAAATTAGATGCAAATAAGGCATTAACATCAACTAATTGTCTTTAATATTTGATTGATTTCACACGCTACGTTGAGTTGCCTAAGCAGATGATTGTATGGGTTGTGTCTGGTGAGTAATGTGTCTAATAAAGAAAGATTTAATTTATTGAAAACTGATGAAAAATGCATACGCTGATTGGTTGGGTTCACTTTTTCTTAATGTTGGATGTCAAATATCAGCATTTAGTGATAGTGATAGTGTTTTGATGTAGTGTTAAAGGTTCAGGCATGAAGCAACGCTGTATTTCTTTGTGACACAAAATCCTGATAAAAAAAACAAAACAAAAAAAACACTGAAGTTTTTATTTCAAATGTTATAAAATATGAAAAACGCAGAAGTGGTATCAATAGCTTTTCAAGGCAAAGCAACCAAACAGGGCATACCTGATAAATCTATGTGCTGTAAATAAAGAGATGTTTATTACTTATCAAGCGTTATGCAAAGTGTCAGGAAAAGCAGCAGTAGTAGTAGTTGGTACCTCATGAGCATCTTATAGGAAGAACTCTCTCAACTGTTCTCTAACAGTTTTGAGCTCCAACACTCATTTGCATTGTTGTAGTTTGACTAACATTCTCTCTCAATTAATACGTAATGCAATCCTTTTTTCTTTTTTTTTTTAAAGAACCTAAAATAAACTGAGCTTAATAATGAAAAACTGAAATGTGGAAGAAAAGAGATGCGAGTTTAGATTGAAAAAGTCGTAAAACATTCAGTGGATGATGACGCGCCTAACCTTTGCCCACCCTTGTCCCTCTTCAGTGCGGTTTCTTCAAGAGACCGACTAGAGAACAATACAATGCTGCGTATCACAAGGCAGAGATCCACGTTCAGCCCTCTGACAAAGACAAACTCTCTGATGAAGCCTGATTCCCTCTCTCTCTCTCGCTGATCAGGGGGTAAAGTCGGCATGAAGTGTGATTATTACCGCAGCTGCTAACAAGCTTCGCTTTCCCAGCCAAACCCGCTGACCTAATGCAGAAACTCTCAATCAGACGCATATTGTACTGAGCCTGAAGATGAGAGTCATTTGGAGGCTTTTGCTTAGAGGAACTTTCTACCTAACGTCAGCAGAAAAGAGACATCTTTTTCTTCTGTGTGAGAGCAGCAGCTTGTGCTCAGTAATTAGATCGTTTATTTTTCAGAATGTGTGTCTGTGTTCTGCCAAGAAATGCTTCAGTGTATGTCGGTGTGCAGCGCTGTTCTCTGCAGGCCTCTTTCCCTGACCTTTTCTGCAAAGCAAAAGCTGCGAAGCATGTTTAACCATCTTGCACTCGCCTCCTTCATTTATCACCTTTGAAGAACGTCTTGTTTAAATCTCGTCTCTCCCACCAGTGCGGCTTCTTCAGACGCTCCAAGCAAGACGACAGCATACCTCGCTACCACGCAGTGCGGATAAAAAAGGAAACTCCGGGCTACGTCGACGGAAAAATGAAACCTGGTGCTTTAGAAAAGAAGCAGTGGATGACGACGTGGATCGACGGCGACGATTATTCATGAATGTTTTATTTCTTTGTACAAACTGGTTGGATTAGAGCCACTGAACTTTAATGTTCCTTGAGTGTGTGAATAGAGTGCGTTTATTTTAAATTGAAATTGACTTTACACGCTGTATAAAGGATTTATTTTTTTCTTATGCTGTATATATTGAAATATTTCTGCACATTTTGTATTTATTTTTTTTTATATGAAAATAGCCATACAACCAAAAGCTTTTTGGTTTACTGCTGTTTCGGGAGCTGTACTGTCTTTTTTTTTTTTTTTTTTATAAACCTCAAACTATGAAAAGAAGGTACAACTAGCTCAGTTTCTGTAACATGAATTTAAACCCCTAGATTTCTACTTTGAGAACTTTATTACAAACCTTCCTTTTTGATGCATCTTAGGTACATCAGGTGAAAAAATTAAATGATGAAAGCATAATTTGCAACGAGCTCAGGATAATCCTCCTCACCTTATGTTCAGGTAGCAATCACTGGACTGTAGATCATCACTGAGGAATCCAAAGGGAAGATGTTAAAAAAGCAACAACTGTACTTTTTTTTTGAGTGATGTCTGTTATAAGTTGAATGGAGTAAAAATAAATAAATAAATAAAAACACTTGAAGACAATTTTATTTTGTGAAGATGTGGACGCTTTACCATTCCTAAGCTACACTTTATAAATTTTAGTTTTATTTCAATTTAACGTCAATCAAAACCTGATGCTGCACCTTTTTTTTTTTATCATGTTCTTTCACAAAAGTGTATGAATATACAGAAATTTGTAAATTTAGTACAGAAGTGCAGTGCATTCATCCTCACTAATGTTTGCATTGATGTCTCAGGAAGTAGCAGAGAAACCAGTCGGCCGAGTTCTTTCAAACTACTTAACTATTCTGGTCTGAACCCGACCTTTAAGTCCACAGTGAGGCCAGAAGCCTGGTGTTGGCCAAACCCTTTTCCTGTTGGACCATCTGTCCATGTACAAGTTTCAACCATCTAGCTGTTCGAATGAAGAATTAGTTTTAATTCTTTTACTTTTGCATCAGTACTACTGATGTACATGCGCTATTGCATGCGCACACTGTCCGTAAGCTAGAAAGCCTCACCTCAGCTCCAGAATGAGCCGTTTGTCATTCTAGGCAAACAGCTAAATTTATCTGATAACAAAATCCTTTTTTTCCAGAAGGAACTTGGCTGATCCGTGTCAGTGGCAAATTTCAGCTGTTTGGAGCAAGGCCTATATTTGTTGTTGTTTTCCCTCATTGTTAATGTTAAATGCTGCTGTTCCTACATGTCGCCGTTTATGAATCGCGGCAACCTCAGCGGTTCTTGGGTTGTTACCCAAGTTCTGTACTAATAGGATAAAAAAACAAAAAAACAAAGACGGATCAAAACTGGAGTAATAAGCCAATATTAAAAATCAACCTTTTTTAATGAACTCTTATGATTCTACCAAGCAAAACTGTCAATTGTGCTGCCAGATTTATGGTAGGAACTTGTTGATGTTTAATCAAACTTTTAATTGGCATGACCCGACAACCTCAGCTCATCTTAAAACCCCCAAAATGTTCAAAATGCAAACATACACAAAACGTTGACTCAACATCTCCTTCTAGCTTTGAAAGTTAAGAGCACAGATTTATCAGCCAACTGGGGAGGGGATCAGCAGGTCCAATCTTTAACATGTAATCTTTTCATTATTTCGTTAGTCCGTTTTTCATTGAAATAGGAGTCAGCAAGCACCAATTGTGCATATTTCGCTTAGCTTAACAATACAGATCAAAAAGATGTGCTTTGATGCTTATCAGGGGTGAACTGCTCCACATATTATTGTGTTAAGAATCAAAACATATTTCTAAATCAGAACTGGTCAATCAGCTTAAAAAAGTAAAATCATTACCAGCCAGGATGAATCAAATGAGTTCATTCCAATAGGAATGTAAATAAACCCCTTTCACTGCATGCACACACTGCATGTGTGTTGTAGTTTATGTTATGCATACCAAATAAGAAGAATGTGCCAACAAATGACAGCTTTCTGCAAAGGACACCTATTTGAGAAATATCCATTTTATTTATCGACCAATTCAAAAGACATTAGAAACATTTTTCCTCAAATCTAGAAGAATTCACATGTTTATAAAGCTTATGGAATCAAAAATATTAATATTTATGCAAACCAACAAAACTGTAGGGGAAGGGGTAGACAGGGTAAACAGCCAAAGGAGAAATAAGGAATTCCCAAAACGTAGCATTACGTCGATGCACATTCAGATCTATTTATTTCAGTCAAAGGTTAAACGAAAGGTTTTCTCCTGCTCCTTGCGCTGCGTGTCACACAGTTTGGACACTTCCTCCACCCTCCGCTGTAGCAGAACTGAGTTCTGGTCGATCCACTGCAGAGAATCCATGTGGGCGTTGAGGATTTTACAAATCTGCTGAAGCTGCGGGGAACAAACAAGACAGAGAGGTTAATCAACGCAGTAAATCATCTTCAGAGCAGGTTTAATGATGACAGATTTTTAAACCCATACTAGCTTAGATTTTAATTCATTTTAGCCATGCTAATGAGCCTTAGCACTCCTGACAGGATGTGCTAGCTGCAGAGAGCAAGGGGGAGAGGGGATGATTGACAGTGCCAAGAACCGCCTCGTGGCTCTGATTGGTTGTTTCTAGAGGACTGGAAGAAGGCAGAGGAACTCGATTTTTCAAAAATTATGTCTCATATACCATTATATATATATATATATATATATATATATAATGTTTTTAAAAAAAAAATAAAAGTTATATACTGCAGCTTTAAAAACAACAATCAATTAATCGATCTAATCCATTTATGGCCCAGTTCTAGGGTCTCTTATCTCACCGGATCGCTGGTGTCTGCCGGTCCGCTGGAAGTGTTCAGGTGATCAATGATCTCCTTCAGATCCTGTGACATCCTCTTCAGCTGCGCGTCCACGTTCTCGGCCAGCTTGTACGTCCTCTCTCGCTCCTCGTCGGCGTTCTGCATGTAGATGGTGCCGCTCTGCTCCTTCACCGACTCCTCCAGCGGGCAGAGCAGGTCCTCCAGCTCCTTCTGCTGCGACAGGATGAAGTCCAGCTCCTGGTTGAGCCGCCGCTGGTCCAGCTTCACCTTCTCCAGCTCCTTGTGCAGGGACGTGATCTTCTCTCCGTTCTCCACCAGCATGCGGTCCCAGGCGTTCACCTGCGTCGCCTGCTGCAGGAAGTGTCTCTCCTGGTCCTCCAGCTCCAAGCTCCACTTGTTTATGAGGCTCTCCAGCTGGGCGTAGCTCATCACAGGAGGATTCGTAGTGGTGGCGGCGGTGGTAGTGGTGAGGCTTGCGGCTGTTGTGGTGGCCATCATGGCGGTGCTGGACAGAGGTTTGACTCCCAGGCTGAAGCCGACAGCGGTGCCAGTCGTGGCGGCTGGAGCTGTGGTGGTGGTGGAGGCAGCAGCTGTGGTAGCGGCTGACCCCAGAGGCTTGAGGGTGAAGTTAAGTCCCCCGCCCGTAGCTGACGGTGTTGCGGTGCTCGCTATTGATGCCGGAGCTGTCCCCAGCAAGAACCCTGTGGTTGCTGCAGGAGCTGCTGTCGCCGTGGTGAGGGGTGAAGCAAACAGAGATGGACCTGAAGGAGCCGCAGAGGCAGCTTGGGTGTAGGCAGGCGGAGCCGGGGTTGACGATGGTTTCACCCCAAAGCTGAATCCTCCACCTCCGCTCTGGGTTGTCGCAGCTGCTGAGGTGGAGAGGGCAGTGGTGCCGAAGCTGAACCCTCCTCCACCTCCTGCTCCTGTTGGTGCTGGTGCAGCTGGAGCAGGAGATGCTGCAGCTGTGGTCACCAGGACTTTGGACCCCCCGAAGCTGAAGCCTCCAAACGGAGCGCCGCCGCCTGCTGCTGCTGCTGTCGTAGCTGCAGGTGCAGCTGTTGATGCAGCTGGAGCTGGAGCCTGAGCGGCACTTCCGAAGGTGAAGCCACCACCTGCAGGAGCTGCAGCGGTGGTCTGAGAGGACAACCCCCCGCCCAGAGTGAACCCAGTCCCCGTGGAGGGAGCCAACATGGAGCCTAGAGTGAGCCCCGGGGCCGCCGCTGTGGTTTGAGGGGCCGTGCCCAGGCCAAATGTGGTGGTGGGGGTCCCAAAGGAGAAACCCGTACCGGGTGCAGAGCTCTTCGCCGGGTTACCGAAGCTGAAGGAGCCGGTGGGGATGGGGTTGGTGTTGGTCTGACTGGTGGGAGTCCCGAAGCTGAAGCCGCCTCCGGTGGGTGCAGGAGCGGAGTTTGTTAAAGTGAAACCTGCGGCGGGAGCAGCAGCGGTGGTCTTCTGGGCTGGGAAGAAGCCCGAAGGCTGATTGAAGTTGAATCCACCACTCATGGTTTCACTCTCTGGACAAAATGGTCACTTCCTCGGTGAATCTCCGCGGCTTTTGGCGGGTCGGGATCGGGAGTTGTTTTAAGTTTACCCCGGCGAAGAAACTCCGCGTCTCTTAGCAAGATTTTCCAGGAGAAGGCGGTAAATAAACTCACACTCGTGTGCTTTAAAATAGTTTCCGCATAATTAACAAGAACTAAAAGCTAAAAACATACCTTTCTTCAAAACGTGGCCCTACGAACCGACATTTCTGTTGCTATCTGGCGGAAATGACGGCAGTTAGGAGATCACATCCTGTTGTTTGCCGGAAGGAGGTCCCACCCCTTTCTACTCGATTGACACATTTTCTGTCCAATCATAATTTTGAACATGTTTGAGCTGAAATTTGATTGGTTCTACTCGCCGCCTTGCAAACAAAGTAGGGAGATATAAAAAAAAGTTTTGACAGTTTCAAAGAATGATAAAAGTAAAGAGTGTGATCCTCCTTCGCTAGTGTTGTGCGTATAAAAGGATAGATAGATAGATAGATAGATAGATAGATAGATAGATAGATAGATAGATAGATAGATAGATAGATAGATACTGTGAAAACTTTCATTTTCATTTCTGTGTCTCATGATTACAGTATGTTTGTTACTAGCAGTGGGTGGAGCACACAAAGGTAACATATAAAATAAGACTACAGAGTAAGGACAATTTTACAACAAAAAATAAATAATACTTTCTACTGATTAGAAATAACCTAAACATTCAGGAAAAATATTCAGGTGTGTAGGAATAAACACAACATAGAAACAAGTGAAAAAACAGTATATTTAACAGTTTAACAGTTAAATATATAAAAAAATTAAAAATTTAAAAAGTATAAGGATTAGAATCCAGGGTTTTTAGATATTTTTTTTTTAAATCAACTGTTCTACACTCCACTCCTGCAGATGACGCTACTTTACGCCGGTTTCCAATCACAGAAATGACGCAACACGAAGACGCGAAGGGAGGTAATTCTCTTGGCTTTGTACTGGCTCTTTGGATTAGCTTGTTGACTTATCTCCTTTACGGATTTAGCTGTGACCACCTGAATTAAAGGACGATGCCGAAATATAGTAGTGTATGTGGGACTGTGGACATAGAAGCAAAATTAAAAAGTCAAGTACGTCACCGATAATTAAAACAACAGCACATCTGCGATTTCCCGGCTGTAAATAATCCTCCAAACGGCGAGGCAGTAACAAGAAGTCTTCGCCTTGGACGCCGCTCTTCGTCTTGACTCCAGCAGGTTCAGGAAGGTGTCATCATGAGGCTTTTGAGGTTTCTGAGGAGCAGCGTGTCCATTGGGAAGGACATTGACTTTTACTCCAGGTTTTCTCCTTCCCCGCTGTCAATGAAGCAGTTTTTGGACTTCGGTAAGAGCTGCACAGGTTGGTGGAACCAAATGAAACAGCGTTATAAAGCCACATAACCTGTTGAATTCATATTGAATTGAATACAGCCAGAAACGTTAATGTACTTTATTCAGGATTTATATGATAAAGATGAAGGGGAATGATGCAGTACTTTTGCATTTTTCTGTCCTATCCAAAAATAAATACAATATCTGAATAATATGTTCTAAATAATAACATGGTCTAAGTGAGGGAAGTTACACACCCACAGAAATCTCTCAATTTCTCTCACAGGCTCAGAAAATGCGTGTGAGAAAACCTCCTTCGCCTTCCTCAGGCAGGAGCTGCCTGTGAGGCTGGCCAACATCATGAAGGAGATCAACTTGTTGCCAGACAACCTGCTGAGGACTCCATCAGTACGGCTGGTCCAGAGCTGGTAGGCAGGTTTTGCTGCTTTTTTTTTTTTTTTTTTTTTTTTTTCACATGTCTCCCAAACCAGCAGAGAGACATTTTATTTTCTTTCCCAGGTACATGCAGAGCTTTCAGGATATTCTGGAGTTCAAAGATAAAAACGCAGACGACGAGAAAGTCACATACGAGTGAGTTTCTCTGTGCTTCACTCATGTAAATAGCGACTCTGTCCTTGCAGTTCAGATTTGTTAATCGTTTCCCCTCTGCTTAGTTTCACAGACGCTGTGATAAAAATCAGAAATCGCCACAACGATGTCATTCCCACCATGGCTCAGGGGCTGGTGGAGTACAAGGAGACGTACGGCACGGACCCGGTCGTCAGCCAGAACGTCCAGTACTTTCTGGATCGTTTCTACATGAGCAGGATATCCATCAGGATGCTGCTCAACCAGCACAGTGAGACGTTCTCTTCATTTAATTATTTAGCCGCTATCAGTGGTCAAAGCCAAAACGTTTCAGGAGTCTTTTCAGTAAACCTCCTGCAGCCATTTTTGAAAAATTTCCCTCTACAAAAGCCACGAACAAAACAATAATAAACGCTCCACTCCCACTCCTCCATGCTCAATAACAAACCTGATGCAACATGTTGCTTATCTGCCTCTACAAATAAAAACATAACTCACTCAAGCATGTATTGAAGAGATACAAAAGCAGTGTCAAATTTTCTCACCTTGTAAACATAGCTAAATAATTTTTTTTGCGCATGAGTTGGTTTGAAAGCCCTCCAACTAAATATTTTACTCCAACAGAGTTCAAGTCTGTAGCTGCTGTAATTACCGTTCTCGCATAAGATTCCTGCCATCTAACCTGCCCAAAACACAGGATAGCTGTACTTCAGGTCATTAATTTAATGCATAAACATTTTAAATGTCAGATACAGTTAAACATGTAATAAAAAAAAAATGTTATGAACTGTTGTGAATTATTTAGATTTAAACCATTTACTCTACCACATATATGAACATGTTTAGCTCATGTTAATGTCTAGTATCGAACAGGAAGTGTTTTTAGTTTTTGTTTTTATATCGTCATCGTGAACTCCTGCTGCTCGTCGTTTCTCATTTAATGCGTGGAGTTATTCACTCTCACTCTCTGCCTGTTGTTTGCAGCTCTCCTGTTTGGCGGGAAGGTCAAGGTGAATCCTGCACACCCCAACCAGATCGGCAGCATCGATCCACACTGTGGTGTCAGTGAGGTTATCAGAGGTACCTGTTGTTTACATTATTATTGTTTTTTTTTTTTTTAAAGATTCAGTTCTAATGAAAAAAAACAACAAAAAACTTCCACTTTCTTGCAGATGCCTTTGAAAATGCTAGAAACCTTTGTGACCGTTTCTACATGAACTCTCCTGAGCTCATTCTGGAGGAATTTAATGGTAATTTATTCAGAAAGAAGTTATGTTTTTTTCCTGTTTAACAGCGGAGGGGTTTCAGCTGAACCAGTTTTCTTGTTTATCCCGACAGTCAAAGACGAGGGGAAACCCGTCACTGTTGTCTACGTTCCGTCTCATCTGTACCACATGGTGTTTGAGCTTTTTAAGGTGAGTCTTTTTTTTTTTTTTTTTTTTTTTTTTTTTTTTTGTGGTTTCTCACTTTTTTAATCCCGGGGGCCCTTTTATAGAATTTTTTT